CTGGCCTTCAACTAGGCACACATCTCTGCAGCCTCTGGGCAGGGTAGACTAGACTGGGGCTTATCTGTCTGGTCCCCACCTCTGCTGAAGTTGGGAAAGTCCCTCCAGCGCCTCTGCCTCCCTCCCCCACCGCAACCCAGGATCTGCTGAATAATGGAGACAGGAGAGCTCAGGGCACTTGCCCCTCTCACTTCCCCTTCTCAGGATGCATGTGGTTCAGCTCTCCACCCCATACCATGGCCAGGGGTGGGGCTGGGCTTTCCTCTTCTCTCCAGGCAGGCCTAGTGCCCGTTGCCCCAGGCAGGCTCCTACCTCAGAGCAACATTTCCCTGCTCCTGAGATGCATCCAACAGGGGCTGGCTCCCCCCTCCCCTCAGGAGGCAGGCCTTGGGCTGGGGGAAGCAGAGGAGTCAATCAGGCTCCTGGCTCACAGTGTTGGAAGGTGACTGGCCCTACAACATGCTGACCGTGTGCAAGGGAGTAAGGGGGTGGAGGGAGTGGGGTTGAAGAGGGAGGGCCCACTACCCAAAGGGAACTCCTTGAGGCCGGGGACCCCCTAACCCCTAGTGCAGTGTCCTCTCAGGCTTCCAGACTGGGTGGGTGGACAGACCAACAGGAGCTCCCTGGCATGGACGGTGTGGGAAGTGAGGGCTGGAGTGGGGGTGGAGGTAAGGAGCCAGAGAAAGCCAGGATAGCGTGTGTTCATTTGAGGGTGTGTGTGTGTTTGGGGGGTGGGCGGGGAGTCCTATCATGGGTGGGGTAGCATCCAAGGCTTCCTTCTGAGTCTGGATGCCTCTACCCCTGACCTGCTCTGTTTCGTGGGACCGACCTCGGCTCTGTCTAGGGCCCTGTCTGGCCACTCCTGTGGCTCTGAGCAGCAGAGGAAGGGGCAAGCAGACTTCCACCCTTCTTGGCTCCCAGTCCAGGGGAGAAGACCCTCATGCCACACTCGTCTTCCTGGGGCAGTTGCACCAAACCACCCCTTCCATCCAGCCGGGCAGCTTGGAGCTGGGCACCTGGTCCCTGTGGCACTTCTGTCTGGGAAGCAAGGCTTTGGTCAGTTCAGGCCCCCACCCCCAATGCCAGCGATGGACACAGCGGATGGGTCAGGCACAGAGATGACATTCAATGAGGGGCAACAAATGTAGGGGCCACCTCACCCTATTAAGTATCACTATCCAATGAGGTTCTCAACCTTCTAGGCTGGGCTTTGTGTGGGTAAAATGAATAGTGCTCTGAATCTGCCTTTGTCTGACCATGAAGCTCCATTAAGCCATGGAACCAGAGTTATAATTATACTAGTAATAATAGGGGTGCTTCACATGGGTCACCATGCACATTGAATCCCCCAGAGACATGCATGGGGATGGAGCATGGGGAGGGGGTCTTCTCCTTCTCCATCATCATCATCATCATCATCAATCTCATGTTACAGAAATGGACAGAAGCCTGAGGGATGGAGCCCCTGGTCTGTTTCAAGCTGGAGGCCAGGACCCATCCCACCACAGGCCTGAGCAACAAAACCACATCACAGGAGCCAAAAAGTCATGGTCAGCACATGGAAAGGGTGCAAGGCACCATGTGTCCATACCAGGGCTCTGGAGGCCAAGAAGTGGTGAAGGATCAGCTTTTCTGCAGCTTGGCAAAGCCTTCCCAATGGCACAACCATCTAACTGCCCAGCCCTGTGGCAGGCTGAGGTAAGTGCAGGGTCATGGCCTAGGGTAGGAATCTTGGTCAGAGATGAGACCTGGCTGAGAGGTGAAGGTCTAGTAAATAACCCTGGGGCGCTGTCTCCTCCCACGGGACCCTCACTACCACCTCTAACCCAGGCCATCCATGCTCCCCAAGATGGTGGAATTAGCTTCCTCCGGGCCTCCTGGCTCCTCTTGTCCCAACAGCCCTGCCTAATCTGCCCCCTGCCCACTCTATCACCTTCCACCCCACCATGAGCCTTGCTGTCTGGGTTCCAGGTGCATGACCACCCTCCCTTCCTCACACCCAGGGCCTCTGCATGTGCTACGCCTCTTTCCAAATATGTGGCCCCACATCCTTTCACCTGGGCCACTCTTTGCCTTCCCTCAGGCCCCACTCAGCCATTAATTCCTCTGGGAAACCTTCCTGGGCCACTGGCCACATCCACGTGGGACTTCTTGTACCACACTTACTGGGATCTCAACAAACTAAGAGTGAGATGAGCTGTCCAAGGCCCATCCCCTGAGACAAGGGCTCTGCAGCCTCACCTCCTGCAACACTGGCCTGGGGCTGGCATTCTGGAATGCTGCCTGGCAGGACACCTAAGGAGGATGGGCCTACCTGCAGCCTACAACACCCTGAGCCTGGGCAGTATGAAACACGGCCACTGAACTCATGCATCTGTGCAAGAGTGGACAGAGGGGCTCACGGAATGTTCTGTGTCCTGACGTGGTGGTGCTCCCCCGGGGGATATACAGGTCAAAATTCACCACTGGTACACTTTACTCTATGTATGCTGTAGCTTAATTTTGTAAAAATTATAACAAGAAGACACTTCCTCCAAAAGTCAAGTTCTTCTTCCTAGAAATCTCATCTGCCACATATTGGTGCACAATCAACAAATCAGAAATCCTCTTCTCACTTCTTCAAATGGCTCATCATTTGCTGCTTTAGACAGGACCCCAGGCTGCCTGGACAGAACCCACCTGCCCCGGGAACCCCCTGGTACAGCAGCTGTGGCAGGACATAGGGCAGGGCAGAGGCTGGTTGGGATGTGCCTCAAGCTGCCAGGAAAGCCCCCCGATGGGAGCCTCTGTGCCTGAGGCCACACCAAAGGCCAGGCTTTTGTCCCCAGCTCTGCCAGGACCTGCTACATGACCTAGGCCCAGGGTTTCCTGTTGTTCCTTAGTAAACACTTGCTGTGTGACTAGTATACAAAAATATATTCACGGGCACCTGGGTGGCTCAGTCGGTTGGGCGTCTGAATTCTGCTCAGGTCATGATCTCACAGTTCATGAGTTCAAGCCCTGCATCGGGCTCTGTGCTGACAGCTCTGTGCTTCGGATTCTGTGTCTCCCTCTCTCTCTGCTCCTCCCCTGCTCACTCTCTGTCTCTCTGTCTCTCTCTCTCTCTCAAAAATAAATTTAGAAAAAAATATATAATTCACTTCATGGGGCGCCTGGGTGGCTCAGTCAGTTGAACATCCAACTTTGGCTCAGGTCATAATCTCACAGTTCGTGGGTGCGAGCCCAACACCCGGCTCTGTACTGGCAGCTCAGAGCCTAGAGCCTGCTTCGGATTCTGTGTCTCCTTTTCTCTCTCTGCCCCTCCCCAACTCGTGCTCTCTCTTTCTCTCTCTCAAAAATAAATAAACTCAAAAACGATTTTTTTTTAATAAATAAAAATACGTTCATTTCAGGAGAGGAGACAGACGTGGAAACAGGCACAGAGGGACAGTGACTTCTTTTACAAGAGCTGGGGCCAGTATTGCTGAATCTGTCCACCCCACAGACACCTGCCTGGATCAGGCTCCATCACCTCCCCCTGGGACCCTCCTAATGGATCCTAGCGGCGTCTGTGCTACCAGGACCCCCACTCCACACCACCTTACAATCTGCTCCCCACACGGTGGCTGAAGGTCAGCTTGGGCCTCACCAAAGTAACTCCACACAAAGGAAACAAGACGACGAACAACTCCTTTGGGTCCAGAGAGGGGTCTGAAGGGAAGAACACAACACTGCTTACCGTAGAGGCCGCTCTGAGGCAATTGAGGCGTGGAATGTGGAAAGGGCCACAGTAACCCCCTGGCTGAATACTGACAGACTCATAAGGTGACCCACCTCGAGATATCTATAGGCCCTAATTAACCAATGGGCTATTTACAACCAGGAAGTTACCAAAAGGGAGAATTCCCTATGTCGCCATACCTCCTCTCTTCCCCCTTTAAAAAGAGCCCCCACCCACCGCCTCCTGGCAGACAGTCTCTCCTCTGCTGTCCTGCCCTGCTGCTCCCTTGTGGTGTATTCAATAAACTTCTATCTCCTTTGTTCTGCCTCAGGTGAAGGCCAAGCCACCGGCTTCTGATCATCACCCCAGATTTGGGGGGGCCCTCAACCAATCAGGAGAGATACCGCACCCACAGAATACCCTTGCCAAAAAATTCAAACCCGAATCTGCTCAGATCCACCAATTTGGAGGAAAGTCACAGGAGCATAGGATAGGACACCCAGAGGGCCCATCAACAGAACTCAGGTTAAGGGAAGCTCCATAGATTTCTTTGACAAGAGATTCAAGTGAAAAATAAGACAGAAAGTGATGGAAGGAAATCTATGGAATAACGTGTGGATCTTCCTTAGACCCTGGAAATGTGAACACTGGCTGGATTTTTGAGGAGGTTAAGAAGGGCGTCACTGCTTGTCAGATGTGACAATGGCCCTGTGGTTATGTTGTTTAAAATGACTCTCTCAGAAATACATACTAAGAAATAGAAGAAATAGGATTTGGGATTTGCTTTAAAACAACCCAGGTGTCATGAGGGGGTGGACAAAATAGGATCACAGCTGCTTTGTGATGGACACGTGGGGCTCAGCAAAGGCTCCTGGCTAATTTTGCCGCAAATTTTCCATAAAGAAAAGGGTGTTGTTGTTGTTGTCGGTTTTAAATCTCAAATATCCCCACCAAAGGAGTGAGGGAAAGAAAGGAGGGTAGGCTGGAGAACCGCCCCCAGGCAGGGGGCCAGGTCTAGGCTGGAGGGTCCCCAACCATTCCACTGCAAATGCGTACACATTCTGTGCTCTGTGCACAGTTTTCAAGTCTCAGTTAAAAAACACCCACCTCGGGCACCTGGGACTTCAGCACAAGTCATGATCTCACTGTGAGTTCAAGCCTTGGGTGGGCGGGCTCTGCGATGACAGCCAGAACCCATTTGGATCCTGTGTCTCCCTGTCTCTCCGCCCCTCCCCCTGCTCACTTGCACGCATGTTCTCTCCCTCTCTCAAAAATAAACATTAAAAAAAAAAAAACCCACCTTACACCCAGATATGGCAGGATTCAGGGCCACCAGTGCCAGCATACACACTGTTGTGGATTGTCTGTGAAAGAGAAGAAAGTCAGAGCTGAGAAACTTCTACAGCAATGTCACACAGTTACTATGTCTGCAGGGTGTCGTCCTTAAGATAATGGCTTTAAAAAGTGAAGGGGGGGCGTGGCTCAGTCAGCTCAGGTCATGATCCCACCCTTCGTGAGTTTGAGCCCCGCGTCCAGCTCTGTGCTGACAGCTCGGAGCCTGGAACCTGCTTCAGATTCTGTGTCCCCCTCTCTCTCTGCCCCTCCCCTGCTGGCACTCTGTCCCTCTGTCTCTCAAAACGGAATAAAAGCTTAAAAAAATTTTTTTAAAGAAAATAAAATAAAAAGTAAAGGGAGCTGGTGGTCAAGATCCTTGGGTTGCAGCCCCAATGCCGTCACCACTCATGGTTTATTTAGCACCTCTGGGCCTCAGTTTCCTCATCCATAAAATGGGAACAGAGCCACCTCTTTTGTAGGTTTGATAGGAGAACAAAAGGAACTCAGAGCCAAAACACCCTTCAAAGAATGAAAAGTGTTAAGCCAAACCACGTGGAGATTTTGTCACACTCCCAGTGTGGCCTGGGCCCTGTCCCTGCCCTACTCCCTGCATAGCCTCACTCACCCTGTTTCCACCTCCATCAAGTGCAACCACGGCCAAACACAGTATTACTGATAATAGATTAACTAAAGTATCATCGATCAAAAAATAGATCACCAACCCTCCTGTGTGTGCCTGACACCTCCAGGAACCCTCCCTCCAGTCCTTTGGGGCCCACTTCATCACCCCATGTACAGCTGGGGCTCTGGGAGAACAGCGGTTCCTGCCCCCTTTGTGTTCAGACTTGCTTTCAGGTCCCAGCATGGCAACACATGCAAACACTAATGCAAGTGCACGTGGGCTGCGACTTCACAGGGTTTTGTCCCAGAACAGGCAGAAGTCATATTAACGTGGAGTTCACCACCTGGCCCCATCTGCGTTCTTTCCTGGGCTGGCCCCTCCACGCCATGGCAGCAGAGCAGACAACAGCAGTCCTGTGGCCCTGCTGGGAACAGTGGGCGCGGGGCCTCAGTGAGGCTTCATGTCCCTGGCTCAAAGAAGGCATTACCCTTGACCCTGCGAAGCCCAACGAGCTGGAGGAGAACACGGGTGGGAGGAGTACCGAGGACACAGGTGCTCCCACTACACCCAAGCCCCAGCTGGGGTGGGCCGCTGAGGCCCTGGGAAGCAGCCAGAACCGGCTTGCTCTTCATGAGACAATGAGTCCACTGTTACTGGCCAGGACCTTGATTAATATTTGCAAAAGGAGCAAAGTGGAAAATTCCACCTGGGCGGAGGCAGGGCCCAGGGGAAGTGTCAACAACCTCAATGGCCTTGTTCTCCCCGGGATGGACCAGGCAGAGAAACAAAGGCCTGATAAAGGATACAGAACCTGAGAGTGTCAATGCACTTGGATCCAAAGGAATTTCCTTATTTGGGTCAGGGAGGCATTAATTTTTTTGTCATCCTGACTTTCCTGCCCCTAAACTGACACAACACCTTGAAATCCTTCAACTCTCTTTCTCTCTCTGTAGTCTCCCAATAGCCCTGCCAGACCAGCAGAGCTGATGCTGGCCCCATGTTACAGATAGGGAAACTGAGACTCCAACACAATGAGAGCTTCGCCCAAGGCCAGCAGCTGGTGATTAGCACATCCAGGCAAACCCTGGTGTCTCAACTGCCAGCGGTGGCACAGAGCCTGTTCCAGGGAGTCTGGGGTCAGGTGTCACAGGGACTAGACAGGGTGGACTTCTGGGCTCCAGCAGAGGCCCCGACCTTCACTCCACCAGAGGAGGAAGAGGAGAAAGAGGAAGAAGCCCAAAGCAGCTCTCCCGGGTAGGCCGGTGTAAGCACCACCATGGGGGGAAGGTGTGCATAATTGATTCATTCAAGCATTTAACAGTGCCTCCTAAATACCAGGATGCCAAGGCCTAAATACCAGGATACTGTGGATGCGAAGGTGCACTGCGTGGTGGCCCTTTGAGAAACCCAGACCTGGCAGAATTCAGGACTGAAGGGGGAAGGTCCAAGTATCTCCAAAGGCTGCTTCCCTCACAGGCTCCAGTCACCTCACTGAGCCACTTCACAGTCTCATCTTTCCCATTTTACAGAAAAGGAAACTGAGGCCTTGAGAAGGGCAGCGACATGCCACAGGTCACAGAGAGAGAGGAAGCTAAGACACCTGGACACTTAGTGGCCCTGCCTCCAGTTTGTAAAGCCACAATGTTATTGGGCTTAGGTATTCAAACCAATGGTGTCCCTTCCAACGGGCCCCTAGAAGGCTGTATGCTTATCAACAAGGACCTCTCATGAAGAACACTTTTTGGAATGACCTTCCGAGCCAGCATGGGCCCCCCCCCCACCCGTCCACCCCCCAAGCAGGCACAGCTTGCTTGCCTACAGAGAACACCAGCGGTGGCTACAAGTCCTTCCCCTCCACGCCCATCCCGCAGTCCTGTCTACAGAGCTGGTCATGGGCATCATCACCATCCCAGAGCCCCAGAGGGCCAGGGCGCTGTCAGCGCTGTGCCCACACCCCACGCTGCTCAGCGTCCCTCCTTCCACCCCTGCTACCACATGCTCAGTGACGTCCACACCACACTCAACTCCCCCTTCACTCATCAGCTCCTGCCCCTGGAGAAAGAACCTTCGACCTTTTTTTTTTTTTAATTTTTTTTTCAACGTTTATTTATTTTTGGGACAGAGAGAGACAGAGCATGAATGGGGGAGGGGCAGAGAGAGAGGGAGACACAGAATCGGAAACAGGCTCCAGGCTCTGAGCCATCAGCCCAGAGCCTGACGCGGGGCTCGAACTCACGGACCGCAAGATCGTGACCTGGCTGAAGTCGGACGCTTAACCCACTGCGCCACCCAGGCGCCCCAAGACCCTCCTTTTCTTAAAACCACCCCCACCCAACTCCCATCTCTGAATGCATTTCCTCCCATGTCCATTTCATCCCCTCTTGTCAAAGCCACCCCTGACTGCGAGTGACACACCCTGACCTCTCTGCCCCATTTGATCCCCCGGGGCTGCTCCCTCATCCCGGGTTTTTTTCACCCCCTATAAATGTCCTACTCATAAATCCTATCTCCAGGCCTCAGCTCTGCATCCCTGCTTGTTCCCACACCTCTCGCACTCATGGTCCCAACACACAGCTGTAAAGCCAGCATAGCTCGGAGCCTGGCCCACAACGGGGACTCACCTGTTCATTGAGGGAATGCATATTGGTTAGCAGCCACCTTCTCGCTGGTCTCAGAGGGGCTGGACCCCATTGCCCTGCACAGTCACCCAAGTGGCCTTTCTAAAGCTTAAACTGACCACTGCCTAAACCTCGGCTGTTGTTGTTCCTTGGCACCCGGGGACAAAGTTCATGATCTCCACCGGGCCTAGGGGCCTGTCTCCAACTGCAATTTCACAGCAGGGCAGGCACACATGCCCTTGAACATGCACTCACCACATTCATCCCCAGAGAGCGCCCATCAGCCAGTACCTGTGTGTCATTCACCTTTGCACTCCAGGACTGGCACCCTGCAGGTGTTTGCTGAGAAGACAGACAACTATCAGAGCTGTAAAAGGTCTCAAGGACCACATAGCTCAAAGCAACTCAGAGAGGTTGAGTAAGGGGCCCAGAGTGACCCAGCCCCAGGCAGTGATGAGGCAACAATCTCCCGTCAGTCAATTCTCCAGGGTCAGGAACCAGACCAATCCTCTGGAAACGTCACCTGGAGCCCCACATGTACGCATGCCAGAGCTCTAGCTGACCTTGAGACTGAGCTCCAGTCCATGTAGCCCGAAATCTGTACCCGGCAAGTGAGCCAGGCCTGGCACATAGTAGGACCTCAGCAAAACCAGCTGCTTGATAAAGTCAACCTCTCACCAGCTGACAATTCCCTCCATAAGTTTCAGGGCCGTCTCTAGGCCTTCATCTCTTCATCTGTAGGAAGGCCGCTAACATGGCCTGCAAGTTTCAGTGGCCTGGAGTTGGTCAACCTAACTTGGTCCTTTGCAAACAGGGGACTGCAGCAGCCCAGATCTAAGCTCTGAGATCCACTGTTAGCCCAACTAATTTTTTGTTAACCTGTTCCCAAATCACTGTGTCTCAAAGGATGGTTCCAGCCAGCCGCAGGCGGCAGAATTACCAAAAGAGGGCTTGTAAAAGCGGAGCCCAGTGGGTGCCCAGGGGTCAGAACAAGTGTCTGAGGGCCGGCCGGGGATTTGCATTTAAGGCGGCGCGTGATTCTTGGGAACAGCGAAATACTGACAGCGTCCGACGCTTCCGCCTTCGGACACCCAAGTGTTACTTTCAGACCTCGTTTTGTTTGGCAGTAAACACACCAGGTTTCCATTACTCTAACAACACACAACTTAGTTCCTCAGAAGTACTAGCTGCCGCGAAGAACTCAGCGAGGTTCGGCTACCCGCGTCCCACCCTTTTGTCTCGGGGGCGGTGGGGGGGGGGGGGAGGAAGGGGCGCCGGTGCGGAAGGTGGGGCTCCTGCCTCGGCGTCCAGCCCGGGTCCTCCCGACTCACCCACTCCCGGCCCGAGGCCGCCCGGGGCTCCGGTCTGCGGCCAGGGCCGTGCGGGTCGGGGCGCGCCCCATGCTACTCACCCTCGGCAGCTGGGGCCCGGGGCGGGGCGGGGGGGGGGGTGCTGCGGCGGAGCGGCGGCGGCGGCGTCGTCAGGGCCCTCGCCCCGCTACCCTGTAACTGGCGGCGCCGGCGCACCGCGCGCTCTCCGCGGCCTGGAGGGGAACGACTGGCGGGCGGTTCGGACCGGGTCTGCGGGCTGGCCCGAGCGCGCGTGTGCAATCCTGCACTTGGCTCACTGCTCCCACGTGTGCACGCGGCCCGGAGCGCGCCGGGACCGCCGGTGCTCTGCCCACCAGGCGCCCCGAGGCTCTGGGACGCGGCCCATCCCCGCGAGCCCCGGCAGGCGGGCCCCGGCGCTCCTACGTTGCCACCCAGAGAGGGGTCCGCCCTCGGCGCGGGCGGCGGGGCCGGGGCGGCGCTGCGGGAGGCGGGGCCCCGAGGGATGGCCCCGGGCGCCGAGATAAGAGTGCGGCCGGCCGGGGGCTGAAGGGGGTTCCGCGATGTCGCTAGCGCTGCTGAGTCTGGCCGCGCTGTGCTGGGGATTGGTGTCCACGGAGCCGGTAAGCCTCCGCCCGCGCCCCTTTCCCACGTTCCCTCCCTGGAGCCCCGACCCTGACGGCGTCCGACGCCCCATCTCATGCTTGTTCTCCGAGGGCCCCCTGGAAGGGGCACACATGCGCCCTCTGGGTCAGCCCGACACGCCGTCCTGGGCTTCAGGCTTGAGTCAGGGGCGTCGGAATCAGAGGGCCCCGGCTCAAATGCCAGCCGGTGTTCTGGATTCGGTCATTTATGCTCACTGAGGCTCGGTGTCTTCATCTGTAGAAGGAAGACTCACTTGGGTCTAGTGAGGAACAGCGACAGGGCTTGCAAGGCAGCAGCAAAGAGCCTGGCACATGGTAGGCACTCAATATTGTTAATAGTTACGCTTGCAATCGAGGTCTGCCCACTTTGGGGTACAAGAACTGCTTCTCGGGGCGCCTGGGTGGCTCAGTCGGTGAAGCATCCGGCTTCGGCTCAGGTCATGGTCTCGGGATTCGTGGGTTCGAGCCCCGCGTCCTGCTCTGTGATGCTAGCTCAGAGCCTGGAGCCTGCTTCAGATTCTGTCAGTCTGTCTGTCTGTCTGTCTGTCTCTCTCTCTCTCTCTCTCTGCCCCTCCCATACTTATAGAGAATATTCTCTCTCTCTTTCTCTCTCTCTCTCTCAAAAATAAATAAATAAACGTTAAAAAACAAAACAAAACAAAAAAACCCTGCTTCTCCATTACTGCTTGCCCTTTTTTGCCATGTTGATTGATGCTGTGCGAGGGTACCATGACCCGGAGCTAGTAATCTGTTGAACTCTGGCTGGTTTCCTTTTCTCCCCAGGGCCTCGAAGGATTGAGGGAATCTTTTGGCTCACTAGTGAAGAAAAATCTTATGAAACAGCATTTGAAACTATATCCCTGCTCTCTTAGCATAGAGCGTAAAACATGGTGGTTACTTGTTCATGATTATGGAAAGATGAACCCCGATCATGTGCCCTGGTGCCTCCAGCTACGCTCCTTGTTGCTTTGCTTCTTCCTAAAATTTGTCTCACCAGCCCTTTGACAAGAACTCAACTCCCACTATGGTGTCTTATTTGTTTAAAAAAATGTCTGATATTACTTGGAGTTCAGCTTTAAAAAGACAAAGATGAGGGACTAACAATGTCACCCAAACCCATATTACTCAAACCATCAAAAGTTTTACCTTCTGTCTTACAAGATGTTTGGAAATGTACAGGCTGAGAGGGATCAGACTCCAGAGCTGGTTGACTTTTTTTTTTTTTCAACGTTTTTTATTTATTTTTGGGACAGAGAGAGACAGAGCATGAACGGGGGAGGGGCAGAGAGAGAGGGAGACACAGAATCGGAAACAGGCTCCAGGCTCCGAGCCATCAGCCCAGAGCCCGACGCGGGGCTCGAACTCACGGACCGCGAGATCGTGACCTGGCTGAAGTCGGACGCTTAACCGACTGCACCACCCAGGCTCCCCAGAGCTGGTTGACTTTTATTGTATAGGGTCTTGTCACTGGAACTTGCTGCTGCCTGAAAGTTAAATATTTTAGATCCAGTATTTTCTTCCAAAACAAAAGTACTGATTATTTGTTTCTTAAAATGACATGAGCCATTAACCCTAAAGGATTTAGTACTGGCCTTTTTGGGCACTAATGATCAAGAGTTTTTAAAAACTCTTTTCAAAAGATAACATGATGAAATCACAACTGCTTTTTGATTTTCTGAATAGCTAGCTCAGGTGAGTCCTTTTGTATCAGAGGAGGAATATTTTAAAGACACTGGGACAGCACTTTGGATTGCATTCATAACTTTCTTCCATTTATCTTCTTGGCACAGCTAGTCCTTAACCTGGAGAGAATCAATAGGTTCTCTGGATGGTCCTCAAAATCTACACTTGAACATTAGAGTGGGAAGGGGTCTTTATGATGGTCCAGATCACCCCTGCTTATAGCAGGGAAAGGGGGTGAGGCACAGACAGGAGTGGAGACCCAACTCTAGTTTTTAAGTGTGGCGATGAGCAGGCTTGAGGATCTAAGTATATTGATAGCTAATCTAAGGTCTATCGTAGCCTACGATGGGCCAGCTTAGTCTCCCCTAAACTGAAGTGGAACCAGCCCAACTTTTCTCTGAAAGTTTGCCACTTGTATATTCATTTTAAGAAAAATATGGTGTTTTGTCTAATTTGGCAAATGAAGGCTTATGGTTTGCTGACATTCAACACAGTACTTTCTTTCTCTCTTGCAGACCATTCAGTGTGGCTCTGAACCTGGTAGGTGTGCTAGGGAATGGGTATTTGGGGCTTTATACTGACAGAACAGTGGACTTTTAGAGGGCCCAAATCCAGGCACTGGGTCATTGGAGACCAGGGAGAGGGTGAAACATTGCTTTGTTAGCCAACGTGGATGAAGCCTCTACCCAGCAAGGCAGAGCTCCCAGTGTTTCAGATGGGCTGGCTTCCTGGCCAGTAAGAGGGGCACAGGCAGGGCCGGAATCCCCGTTCATGGTGGAAAGTGAAGCCTGCCGCTCTGGGAGATCAAGTGCTGTGATAAGGAGGTCACTTACAGTGGAGAACAGGAAGCAGCTGTCTTAGAGAAGGAGGAGTGTTTGAGATGGTAGCCTTTGAAGAATGAGTGGGCTCCTGCCCAAGAATTGTGGATGGAAAAAGGTGAGCTGGAGGAGGGTTGGGGCCACCAGTGATTAGGAAGTGGGAGTTGTGTGGGCCAGCTGGCTGGAGTCCAGGCTGATACATGAGGGACAAGCATGTCAAATTTGCCAAATACATCCTTAAGTGCACAGGCACATGGGGTGGTCCCAAGTGCCCTGTGGGGTGGGGCCAGAAGGTTACCAATCTCCTTGGCCATAAATCAGCCAGCACTAAGAGACGTGTGCTGCCTTAGCAGGAAGAAGAGATGAATAGGGAGCAAAGGATGGATCGGGGTGGGCCACTCAGAGGAGATGGCGTTGGGTAGGGCCAGGGAGGAGAGCCTCTTAGGCAGTTTTGCCTCTTCCCAGGACCGTCTCCAGAGTGGATGGTCCAACACACTCTGACCCCAGGAGACTTGAGGGACCTCCGAGTGGAACCTGTTAGAAGCAGAGTTGCAATGGAGGACTATTCAATTTTGATGAATGTGAGCTGGGTACTCCGGGCAGATGGTAAGTCTGCATCAAGCAATAAAGTATCTACTAAAGCAGGAAAGTGCAGATCGTGTGACCCATTAATTCCACCGCTGGCAGGAACCAAACAGAATACTGTAAATACACAAGTGCACCAAAAGCCACATACTGTGGTCCCCCCTTATCTGTGGTTTTACTTTCCATGGTTTCAGTTACTCACGGTCAACCAGAGGCTGGAAGCAGACGGTCCTCCTTCTGATGTATCTTCAGAAGGTCCATAGTAGCTTAATGCTATGTCAGCACCAACCACATTCACCTCGCTTCACCTCATCACATAGAAGATGGACGAGCACAGCACAATATTTTCAGATAGAGATCACATTCACATAACTTTTATTACAGTCTGTTGTTATAATTGTTCTATTTTATTATCAACTATTGTTAATCTCTTGTTGTGCCTGATTTATAAATTAAACTTTATCATAGGTATGTGTGTATAGGAAAAAAATGTAGATAGGGTTCAGTACTCTCCACAGTTTTAGGCATCCACTGGGGGTCTTGGAACATATCCCCTGTGAGTAAGGGGGTAGGGTGCTGCTGTACTAGATTATTCTTGGTAGCATTATTCATAACAGCCAAAAAATGGAATGCATCAAATGCCTGACAGTAGAATTGGAATCACAGAACCAACCCGATGCAGCAATGAGTATGATGATCTGTCACTAAACACAGTATGGATGAATGAATCTCACAAACATAAGACACCAGATTCCAGAGTCCACATCCACATCTGAATGCAAAACTAAGTGGTTGGAAGCCACAGTAGTGGTTCTTCTTGGGTAGGGAGCAACTGACAGCACGAAGGGCATTCCTGGTGTGTTTCTCAGCCTGGGTACTGGCTACGTGAGTGTGACAACCCATCATGTGGTCTACTTACGATCTGTGTACTCTTTGGTTTGTTATATCTTGTGGAAGAAAACAGAGTAAGTGCAGAGATGATTTCCCTCTCCCCCGCCCCAGCCCCCAGCCACCACCAAGTTTAGGAAAAGTGCTGGCTCAGGTACATTTCTGTTTCCCAAATGGCACCATGAAAGTCCTGGCATTTCCCCCAAGGCAGCTTGCAAGTTCTTTCAATGAACCAATCCTGGGGGCCTAAAGCCCATGTCTCTGCTTTCCACCCGCTCAATTCAGTTCAATTCCATCAAGTCAGGAATGCCAGGCACAGAGAGGTGAGGCGGCCACAGTTCCCACCCAGTAGGGCTCTCAGAGGACGGGGGGAGGCAAGCAGAGGGGCACAGGCTCAGTGTCAGGGGGTCCCAGAAGGAGCTGTGCTCCATCTGAATGGGGTGGAGGCAGCGGGGAGCTGGCGAGGGTCCTCAGGGAGCACTGTAACTAGGTGGTGCAGTGAGGCAGTGGCCCTACACCGAGTACAGAGTGAGCATTTGCATTTGTTAGCTGTTATTACAGGAGAGCTTGGCCTTGAAGGAGTGGTCAGCCTTCCAGGCAGGGAATAGGGGGAGGGAGGGGCAGTCAGAACAGCATGGTTTGGTGATGACACTCTGAGGGGCCTGTTCCTCTTAAAAGACACCCACGGTAGTGCAGAGCCAGAGTCCCCTTTGCAGGATCCTGTGAAATTGAGGGTTACCAGTGAGGAGGAAAGAGCTTGGGTTTTGGAGTTAAATCCATATCTGCCACTGGTGGCTTTGTAAGCTTAGGCAGTGCTCCCTGAAATCCCCCAAGCCTCACTCACCCTATCTGTAAACAGAGGACAGCAAAGGTGTCTACCTTACAGGACTGTTGTAAATATGAACTGGGATAAGGCATGTAAACCCTCCAGCATCAAGCTGGCCGCATAGTAGGTGCTAAATAAACAGCTGCCTTCTTGCCTGTCTCTGCAGCCAGCATCCGCTTGTTGAAGGCCACCAAGATCTGCGTGACAGGCAAGAGTAACCTCCAGTCCTACAGCTGCGTGAGGTGCAATTACACAGAAGCCTTCCAGACTCAGACCAGACCCTCTGGCGGCAGAGTGAGCGCGCTGAGGCACTTCGGCTAATTGTCGTTAAAGCTCGCCCCTTTGCTTGGGGGGCAGACGTGACGTGCAGTACACACAGGCTACTGAGCGGCCACAGCTTGGAGCCTGGAGTAGGATGCCTGGGTTCAAATCCTATTTTTGGCCACTTCTGGGCTGTGTGCCGTGGGCAAGTCAGCATCTCTGGGCCTCCGTTTCCCCAGCCACAAAGTGAGGGGAGCTGAACTTAAATTATATCCCGGCTCTAAAAGTTTACACTTCTCTGATTCTTTGACTTACACTGGCAAATGGTGTGAGCTCTGTTCCCGTAGTAGACATCAGCTGGAGACAGAAGTTTCAGCAGTAGGTAGAGGAATGCAATTATAAATGGAAAGGGCAGCACACAAAGGCACTCCATTTCTGCGTTGCAGTGCTTTGGGAATTCAGGGGTTCTTTGCTTTGCCTTGCAGTGGACGTTTTCCTACATAGGTTTTCCTGTGGAGCTGAACACAGTCTACTTCATTGGGGCCCACAATATCCCCAATGCAAATATGAATGAAGACAGCCCCTCCATGTCTGTGAATTTCACCTCACCAGGTAACTCCCTCACTCCTCTGTCATCCTCTGTCTTGCAGGGATGCTTGCTGTCTGGTGTGTGGTTTGGCACAGAGAGGCTGGGGTGCCTCGACAAGGCATTTGGCTTCGCCGAGTCTGGTTTCCTCGTGAGACGCAGTAGTGACTATGCCTCACTCACAGAGTGGGGGAGAGGAGGAAGTCAGATAAAAAGTAGGGAAAAGCCTGTTCCTTTGTGTCAGGCACCAGCTGAGCACCTGACGTGCATCCTGTCACCAAAGCTTCCAACAGCCCTGAGGTTGTTGGATAGATGAAGACATTGAGAGCTTAAGTGACTTGCCCTGGGTTACACACACAGGAAGAGTGAAGCTGACGTCCCAACCCTGGGCCTTCTTGATCAGTGACTTTAACCATCTGCCACTAATGCAGAATGTTGTGGGTACAATGTGGGCTCCAGTGTTGGCTGGCTTCCTCACTGGCTGTGGTGTTTGAGGAGTGGCTGGGTCTCTGAGGACACATGGACCCCAGTCGGCCCCCGGGGCTGTCAGTGAAATGCAGGTGGCACTGGGTTGAACACTGGGTTATTTCCCCTATGCTGCAGCACACAACCAGCCCTCCAGTGTCACGCCTTCAGGGTCACACACGGGGCTGCCGCGCGGATGAGACAGGATCGTGTGTCATGTGTAGAGGGGCCATCATGGTGCCCGGCTACAGTGGTTCCCATGCCACCCTCACCTGGGATGGGTCACCTGTTCTGTACTCCATTCCTGTCCTCTGCCTCTGGCAAGGTGTCCAAGCCAAATGGGGTAAATTTCTGATTCCTTGCTGTTCTTTGAGAGTGTGGTCCGGGGTATTCTTTTTGCCCCCACAACTTACTACATAGTAGTTTCCAGCTTTCTTGATGCGACCAAACCCCATTTTAAAAAACATAAATGTCTTATTTTGGAGTAATTTTAGCTTTACAGAAAAGTTGCAAAGATAATACAAAGAACTGTGTGGATGTCCAAAGAATCCCCATATAGCTCTCAGGCAGTTTCCCCGATCATTCATTCACCTTTGATGTCACCGTGGTACGTTTATCAAAGCTAAGAAACCAACATGGGTACATCCCTATTAACTAAACTCCAGACTTTATTTGGATGTCACCTGCTTTTCCATGAATGCCCTCTTTCTGTGCCAGTCCCATTTAGTCCTCGTGTCCCTCGGTGTCCTCTGGTAACAGGTTTGAGTCTTCCTTTGTTCTTCAGGACCTTGACAATCTAGGGTGCCGGCCAGGCATCCTGCAGAACGTCCCCTAGTCTGGGTTTGTCTGATATTTGTCTCCTGATTAGATTGGGGGTGTGAGTTTTTGGAGAGACAGTGCAGAGGTCGAGTGTCCTTGTCCTCGCTTCCTATCAGGGGCAGGTGACATACACACCACGTCACTGGTCATGTTCACCATCGTCACTTGGTTAAGTGGTACCTGCCAGGCATCTCCCTTGTAAATCTACTGATTTTCCATTTCTCTACTATGACTTTTGTAAAAAAGCAAATGACTAAATGTCCCCCTATTCTGGGGTAGGGGTGTGGGGTGGATTGAGTTCCACTTCCTGGAAGAGGCGGTATTTACATATATTATCAAACCTTTTCAAAGGTTCAAGTCTTCTCCCGGGGATCATAGATACTATTCTGATAAAGGTTGTATTTAAATTAGACTCTGGTTATCACTTCGTGGGTAGTCTTCTGTTTAACCACCAAATGCCAAATGTTAGCATCCCATTTAAATTTGCTATCTTACCTCACATCTTGAGTATTCTGGCAGTTTGTTACAAGTGTGGTAAGCATGTGTGCATGTGTGCTTGCTGGTGAGGGAGTGAAGCACTTCCTTTTTTTTTTCCTAACGTAAAAACTTCCATTCAAATCTCCAGGCTGCCTAGACCACATAATGAAATACCAAAAAAAGTGCATCAAGGCAGGTAAGTAAATACATATTTGCTTTCATCATTAGAGGAACCTGGAGCCAGCACAACCCAATCCATCTTCCATGAAGAAACTGAGGCCCAGAGCAGGGGAGTTCTGTGTCCAAGTTGCACGGAGAGGGCTGATCCCTGGCCAGCACTCCTGGCCAGCACTGTGCCGACTCAGTCAAGCAGCCTGTCCAGAGAAGGACCCATTCTGAGTAGGTTTAGGTAGTGAGCCAACAGTCACAGAAAAACACCCGCTGTACAAACTGCACTTACAGTGGTGCTGATTGGAGGCCCTTCCTGACTGGAGGGGAATCTGTAAGTCCTTCCACTGACCTCTGGCCCTGGGGGCCCAATGAACCTTCCATTTGGATTAGCAAGCATTCGAGGTGGGAGTGTTAGCTAAAGTAATGACCTCAAAGCATATTCTCAACTTGTGTCTTCACTGGAGTTCACCTCTCACAGGCTAAACTATTAGAATCTGCCTCTACCCTTGGAGTTTTGAAATAAGTATCTTGAGGATAATCAGTCCTAAGTGTCCGATTTCCAAGGATTTCACAAGGGTGCTTGTAAATTTCTGGGTAATACAGTCTTATGATGCTAATGAGGCTAGTGGCACATGAGGGAACCAATCCCCATCTTTTACGCACCCCCAACCCAGCGGGCATCCCTGTGCACCCCATCAGACTGAACTGCACACAGACTCCTTCGTGGAAGGCAGACTTGGAGCTTATGCTTCCTTTCTTGCCTCCCACCAAAAGAGATCTGGATTGTGGAGGGCACAGTGGGTGTGGGGAGCTCTGAGGGCCTTCCATCAGTCCTAGACCCCCCCTCCAAAGACGGTTCTGAGCTAGGGCCTGACATGCTCTCCCCCGTGGGGAAAACACCACACACTCCCATCTCTTCTGTTCCTGGAAATTAACCTGGTACTGATTTGCAAGTCCCAAAAATCAAACAACTGACTTTGTCTCACTGAGTAGGCCTGTCAGGCTATCCACTCGCTCTATAACCTTAAACATGTCTTCTGGCCTGGGGCTCCTCCTCCCCATCCTGGAAAGGAAAAAATGCTGACCTCAACCCTTAACTCAAAATGGATGTTGAGAATTGAAGGGAGTAGTAGAACCCCATCTGTGCCTCCAACACCACCCCCCGCCCCCAGCCCAGGGAAGCTATCTCAGCAAAGTGGTGATACGGGGCCCCTAAACTTTCTTGGGCAGCAGGTACTTTGCGATGCTGGGAGCAAGGACTAGTAAAAGGTACACTGTGCAGAGAGCCCTTGGATGCACGCATGCCAGAGAACTTAGATATGTTTTGGCCAAGCCCTTTGGGAGACTTAAATGAGGGGCAGTTTGCAACACCGTCCATGTGATTCTCTCTGGACTCAGGAAGTCTGTGGGATCCCAACGTCACTGCCTGCAAGAAGAACAAGACGGTGGTGGAAGTGAATTTTACAACCAGCCCCCTTGGAAACAAATACATGGCTCTCATCCAAAATCGCATTGTAATCGGGTTTTCTAACGTGCTGGAGGTACCTCTTCCCTTCGTTTCCTAACACCACCCCCAGCCTTGCTCACCTTGGTAACGAGGAAAATGCAGGTCCCCTAGGATTCCCTGGACAGGCTCTCCATTGTAACGGCACAGGCGGGTGGGTCCCTGATCTAGGTGTGCGGGGCTGTTTTGACTCCTTTAACAAATGAACACAAGTCCCTGGGAATCTAAAACCAACCAGAGGTAGACGTATCCGAAGTAGGAAATGAATGCTTATTCACGCAGAGTCTGAGGAGTTGAGTCAGTTTGGGAAGAGCAGTCTTTTCACTGGCAATCTTGGTTCTCACTCCCCTGGCTCATGATTCTCCATGCTGTCTCATTCAATCTGCCCCAGAACAAACCCCCAACGCGAACTTCTGTGGTGATCCCGGTGACTGGGGAGAGTGAAGGTGCTATGGTCCAGGTAAGGCTCACCGAGCCGTCCGCGAGGGCAGGGGCGCTTGGGGGACTGGCTGCTGCTGCACAGGCCACCGGTCACGGGCGCTGATGAGCTCCCACCCCCGGTTCGCTTCTGCCGGCTGCCTGCACTAAGCAACAAGTGGGGAACCCTTGCCTCATTCGTTATGGAGGCAAAGGTGGAAGCAAACCTTCGGGCCATGATCCCTTTTGCTTTTATTAGTGGCTATTGACTTTCCGTTTTAGTCACAGAGCCTCAGAGAACTTCCGAGACAGGAGTACCATTTAATTTTCCCAAGTTTCGGTTTTAACTGCAAAATGAAGCAACAAAGGATTTAAAATCAGAAGGTTTGGGTTTCGAGCAGCATATGAACTTTGAAGGGCAGCTGCCTGTCCTCTCGGCATGAGTCTAGTCGGCTGGAAAACAGGAAGCTGGCCCGGGCAGATGCTCTCAGGTCTCTTTCAGCTCCGAGTTTATGATGTGGGGACATGGAGGGTCATAGAGGGACACAGCCACACCCAAGGCATAAGGAGCTTTTGTTTTTCATTCCCTGGAACATAAAGGTAGCACTCAGGCACGCCAAAGGGAGCAGATACCTGTCTGCATATTATGACTGCACCCCTTTTCCAGGGAACCAGACTTTCCTAGTCCCAGAGGATATATCTGTCAATAGGAGCTCTACTGCTCCGAGTTGTTTTTTTTTTTTTTTTTTTTAGAGGAAATATTTGTATATGTATTAGGCTGTGACCTAACCCTTTTAGATAAGGAAGCCAACATGTTAGCACCATGTACAAAGTTTACATTCACAATTCAGGAGTCAGGTGTTTGGTCTCAGGTTGCTGGTTTGGATTTTAGGGCTTTGTTATGGAAGTGTGACCAAGGCAAAAAATGTGTTTTGTTTTGTTTTTTTTTTTTCACCCTATTACAATGCTGGGGTGGGGGTGCGGTTCAAACCAGGAGAGAAAGGGGGGAGACATTTTGGTGGGAGTAGGCATTATGCTGAGCTTCTGCTCTGAAGCATGATGCGAGCTTCCCAAGCCTCTTGTTTTTCCCTCAGCTGACTCCGTATTTCCATACTTGTGGCAATGACTGCATCCGACGCAAAGGAACAGTTGTGCTTTGCCCACAGACTGGCATCTCCTTCCCGCTGGATGGTCGTAAGTGCCCAGCCATTTGTGCAGGGTGATCAGAGAGGTGCAGGGTGATCAGAGAGGTTCAGGGCCTGAGGCCCAGCAGCACTACCCCATTCAATAGGGGCCAGGGTGGGCATGCACCTGCAGGAGGGTGCAGGAGCCCCTGCTGTGTACACGGTGAGGGGCTGGGGTGCAGGGGAAGATGTCCACACCACCGTGCCAGAGGCCCTGACAGCTGATCGGGAATGGAGGCTTCATTTGCGAATCCACCACGAGATCCTTTATGAAAGAGGATGCACACAAGAAGGGGGAAAAATAAACAGCGCAGAATGGATGTTCATTGTGCTACAAGGACCTACTGAAAAGTCAGTGGCGCTAAAGGACTGAGTCCATGAGGGAATGTGCATTTCACCGCACTGTGATTTTCTTACCAGCCTCAGTGGCCCGGCCTGTTCCTGTAATTTGATATGGTCACTCAGCCACAAATTAGCAATATTGGCCCCCAAAGACACACCTCACTGATGCCTGAGAGCAGCATATTTGGGGAAAATGTCCTTCTGGATTTAGAGATGGTAGTTCTCTTATTACAGACAGACAAATGTTCCCAGAACTAGCCCGGGCGGGAGTCAAAAGTTGCAAAGTGTTACTCTCAGAAACTCAGCCCAACAAACTGACAACCTAGGTGCCTAACAGTCCTGACTTCTGTGTGGGCACAGTGCCTATGGATTCCTGAGCTTACCTGACAGATATTCCTGTGGGAGGTGGCATTACCCACCGTGTTTGTCAGTCTAACAAAACAGCCTTGAAAAATGGCATCTGTGTGTCCCATGTATTAAGTAATCACACTGAGAATAACATCAATTCATCAAAGAACAAAAAACCTGAATGCAAACTCTGGTTACCAGGGTGAAAATGCCTGTATGTAAGTGCAGTAAGAAGCCAAAATGATTTTGGCAGAACTTTCTTAACCTCCTGGGTCCCATATCCCTTTTGAGAATCTAACAAACGGCCTGGACACTCTACGGAAAAATGCACCAATCTGAAGACCCCCTAGAGATCTACTGACCCTTGGTGTTAATAGGAATCTAAACTTCGGGGCACCTGGGTGGCTCAGTCGGTTAAGTGTCCGACTTCGGCTCAGGTCATGATCTCGCGGTTCACGAGTTCGAGCCCTGCGTCGGGCTCTGTGCTGACAGCTTGGAGCCTGGAGCCTGCTTCCGATTCTGTGCCTCCCTCTCTCTGACCCTGCCCCCATTCATGCTCTGTCTCTCTCTGTGTCTCTCTGTCTCAAAAATAAGTAAACGGGGGCACCTGGGTGGCGCAGTCGGTTAAGTGTCCGACTTCAGCCAGGTCACGATCTCGCGGTCCGTGAGTTCGAGCCCCGCGTCAGGCTCTGGGCTGATGGCTCAGAGCCTGGAGCCTGTTTCTGATTCTGTGTCTCCCTCTCTCTCTGCCCCTCCCCCGTTCATGCTGTCTCTCTCTGTCCCAAAAATAAATAAACGTTCAAAAAAAAAAAAAAAAAAAAAAGAAAATTAAAAAAATAAATAAACGTTAAAAAAAAAAGAAATCTAAACTGCTACAGAGTATAGAGTAAAAATCTTGTTTCCAAATAGGAGATAAATTTGGCTTTGTTTTGCTGAAAGTAAATCAACTTTGTTTTCTCCAGGCAGAAGCATGATGGGTGGCTGGCAGCCTTTCCTCCTCCCAGCCCTGCTGGGGGCCACAGCATTGCTGGCGGCTGGGATCTACGTAATATGGAGGCACAGTAAGTGTTATGATTAGTTCTTTAAAGAAACCTGAATGAGGAAATAACAGTGAATTTTTTAAAAGATTCCTCCAGAAGCAGTTACATTTTGGCATCAAGGCAAGAGCACTGATGTAATGCCCTAGAACTCTCCAAAAATACTGATAATGATGACTTAGTCACAACCAAGGCAAAGCAGGGATGGGGACCTCTCGATCCGGTGACTACCACCGGTTTCATTTTAACCATTGGGGCACCTACAAGCACTACAATGGGCACAAGACAGCGAATAGCGAATTGCATTTTTGCCTGTAACAGGTACTCCAAGCTAGTTCCTACTTTTTAAAAATAATTGTCCCATAGCATAAGAACAATACTCACTTGAATTCGTGTACCTCAGGGTCCTTGCCAACTCTTTAAACATCAAGAACTTAAATACAGAAGTCAGAGTATTTATACAGATACACGCGAGAAGGAAGCCCACTGCTTCTCCTTTTACCGTATGAGTCCTTTGTGATGTTGTGGATAGAACGAGATTAATCTCATAACCTAAGTAAGAAAGCCATGTGGAACCCTGACCTTGGGAATACTTCTATTCAGGGGATATGATCTGGCCTGTATTAGCTATAGTACTTTCGTATGTAGTTTCTGTTCTGTAGCACGTACAGAATTCCAGTCAAGTTCCAGCTGAAATGGGGTACCAGTTAACCTAACACAACCACACAAAGACTACCATTTGCAGGCATCAGATGGATCAATTACTGAGTTGACTTAATTCAAAATGTGATGTGAAGGGCACAGGTCAGGTAGCCCTGTTTATATAGGACACTATGTAATACTGGTTAGAACCACCCACCTAAAACAAAGTACCTCCAACCTAAACAGTTTCTGTGACTTCATTTGAAAAGATATGGGTTAAGAAGACTGACGTAGTGATGGGGACTTGAAAATACATCATTTAGAGCATCTTTAAGGTTGTGTTGAGCATCAGTGTGTTTCAGGTGGTATGTTCAAAAGGAACATGGGGGGGGGGGGTATTTTCCTTGCTGGCAGTAACAACGTCCCTGGTGCTCAGCCAATATTCCCTCGCTGGGGTTCATTTACTAGTGGTGGTTCAGATTAGAGTGACGGCCTGCTGTGTGCCGTTCCTAGCTAACAAACGCTCTCTTCCCCCCACAGAAAGGATCAAGAAGGCCTCCTTCCCTACTGCCACCCTCCTGGCCCCCATTAAGGTTCTTGTGGTTTACCCATCTGAAATATGCTTCCATCACACAGTGTGTCACTTCACTGAATTTCTTCAAAACCACTGCAGAAGCGAGGTTATTCTTGAAGAGTGGCAGAAAAAGAAAATAGCGGAGATGGGTCCAGTGCAGTGGCTTACCACTCAGAAGAAAGCAGTGGATAAAATCATTTTCCTACTTTCCAATGACGTCAACACCATGTGTGATAGTACCTGTGACAAGAGTGAGGGCAGCCCCCATGAGAACTCCCAAGACCTGTTCCCCCTTGCCTTTAACCTCTTCTGCAGCGATCTGAGAAACCAGACTCCCCTTCGCAAATACATGGTGGTCTATTTTAGAGAGGCAGATACCAAAGATGAGTACAGTGCGCTCAGTGTCTGCCCCAAGTACCGCCTCATGAAGGATGCTCCTGCTTTCTGTACAGAACTTCTCCGTGTCGAGCAGCACATGTGAGCAGGAAAGAGGCTGACAGCCTGTTCCATGTAGGCCACCCAGAAGTGAGGGGCCCTGAAGCCTTCCTACTCCTCCACATTATAGGGGGAAAGCATCTCAGGATTCTAAAGTTTCTGTATGGACTACGTGCAGGGAGGATTTTACATACACCTGCTTTATTTAGCAATAGGAATATAGGGAGGATTCATAACTAAATACATATGCCTTAGCTTAATCAAAACTTTCATGCCAATAAAACCGTTATAAATACTAACTACTGTAGCATTAACTAAAGGACAGAAACTAAATTTATAATTATAAAGCTAAATCAAAATCAAGGAGAGTAATAATGCAAAATTATAACCATTTTGATAATGCAGTGATAAAGCATCTTCCAGCCAAACATCCAATCTTGAACAGTCCATGCACTGCACTGTAGGTAAAACTTTACTTCTGTAACCTTCTAAACTTAATGAGTATCAAATTTAAGAAGGCTTCACTAATTCACTCAACTTCATAGGTGAAAAACCCTCTATTACATACAAAAACTTTTAAAAAAACAGAATACGGAATAACGAGCTGAACTCATCTCTGCTGGCCAGATAACATAGCATACAGGTAACTGCTCATACTATCTGGCACTTGTATAGGACCTCTCTGAACTAATTCATGACCTGTCTGATTCTTGTACAGGTGACTTTTAACATGGACACCAATATACATTACTTGCAGACCTCCTATCAACTTTTGCCCAAAGTTACCTATTAGAGGTCACGTCAAGAGTTCAGTTTCTTGGTTATTATGTTAACTTTTCATGTTCAAAACACAAATTGTTCCTGCTCTTTAGAAAGTTAGCCCTCTTGAAGTAGTCTTTTATAAATCAGTTATAATGGTTTAAATTACCATAGAGTTCCATGACATAGAAATGTATGATATTTTAAGTCTTCCAACTTCTTTCTCTAAAAGCATCTTTTTAATGCAGAGGTTACCAAGGGGCTATATATATTACTTATATTTATGTTATGCCCATTTTTCTAAGATTGCTGGTCTTTCACACATGCAATCCTGTATCTGCTCTAGAACGTGGCTCAGTTTCAGGTGGATGACTGTTAAAATATATTCGTGAAGTGTCAAAACTATCCTTAAAGGGCCATGCCACCCCTTCTAATACATGTCTTACGGATAAAATAAAAACCAAAATAAGGAAGCACAGAGTGAAATCTCACCATGTTCAGCTCCTCAAGCAGATACTTAGTAATGGCTGAGACAATATGTTTAATGTGGTTAAGCTCACTTGTCATGATCTGTTTTCATGGTGCTTAATAAAGTGCTGGTAAAAGAAGACGGACATGGCTTATGTCTAAACTTGGATCAGAAACCAACGTCCTCTGAATCAACATCTACCAGTTATAACAACAATATGTTATTATGTAAAAAAAAGATTATGAACAAAACTAACATTTTGCTTTTGGAATTAGGTAGCCACTAATAAATTGTGTTGAAACAGCCCAGATACATAAATAAGATCAATATTGTATATTTTGTTAAAAAAAAAAAAAAAAAAGAACACATAATTTTCAAATTGAAGGCACACATCTTCAATAGTACCAACATGTTAAAGTTGTTTTCTTATACTGGTGGGCTCTTCCCTGTTCCTGACCTACTGAGCAGGTATGTAAGATGCTTCCATTTATGCAAATGATCTGGTACCAGCATTTCTCCACATCCTAAGACTTCTAACCACCCTTATTCTCTTTTTCTATATTCCACTCTTCCTTCTATCTCTTATCCATCCCTACTTCTGTCTCTCTGTCCCCCTACATCTCCAGTTCTGGATGAGCAGATGGTGGGAGCAGGTACCCAGCAGGGGGTGGCAGGGATCCGGCACTCTCCCAGGCCCCCAGGTCTCTGAGCCTCTAGTGCTGTGCTTGCTGACTGACTCCCATCTCCAGACAATGCCTTCTCTTCCTGGGGCCAGGAAGGCTTCACCAAGGCCTGGACCACTGGTGCTACTAGCTGTCTGTACTGAGATTTTGCTTCAGATTGCTCACAGATTAAGGTCAAATAATCGTACTGGGCACAAAGAGCTCCAAAACCTTTCTCTTCGTTCCTCAGGTATAGGAAAACTGGGGGGCTCAATGACTAAGTTAGTAGTAATTACAACAGAAGTTAACTCGAAATTATACCCGAATTATTTCTATTTGGCTTTAGGAAGGAAATGAATTTTCCTTCTCAGTTTTTGTTGTTTTGGTCAGATAATGACGGTTTCCTTTCCCCAAGCCCACCTGGAAGCATGTCAGGTAACAAAAGCCGGCCCACCCAGCTTTAAATCTTTGCCTCTGGAAATCCAAACCTCTATGGTCACTATCTTTTTTGTAATCCAACAGAAAAAAAGAAAAAAACTTTTTTTCTTCTTATTTGGAATTCCAAGAGCACAGAGGAGTCACAACATGTGTGCCTGCTATAACACATGAGGGAAATGGCATGACTGGACAGTTCTCAGGATTCAGGTACATGAGTCATATACCCACCCCTATGGCTGCATGTGATTGTCTGAGGACACCGAGGTCAACTTAAGGCATACATATGAGAGCCATACAACAGCAACATTTCCTGTCATCAGGGAGCTCCTGCCACCCTGAGAAAGGGGCAAGAGAGTTTGCCACTGAAGACTAAGTTCGCATTTATCCTTAAATGTCCTGACTACAAAAACTGCTTATAATTTCACACCAAAGTCCTGCTGTCAACATAAAAGTTAAAATTCATTTATTTTCCATGAAACTTAAGCATCTGAGTCAATAAATTAAAATACATTATTCTTTAAGAGTCTTTATACCAGGATGCTTATTTTTGGTCTTCAACACTGACTTCCTGCCCACTTTCACCACACAAAAGCAGCTCGCTCTCGTAACATGCGGACACCAAAGCGCTGCCATTCTCTCTGATAGATCCACAGCTCCTGTGTCGTGTCCAAACAAGCCAGCACGGCCCCTCCTTTCCATGCAATCAGCCGGGGATCCATGTCCTAGAGCAGTGACACAGCAAAAGCAGACAAGACGTATACTTAATAATTTCCTTGTATTTGGGAGTAGAAAAAAAACCTGCTGAATCAATACTTAAAACAGCCAGATTTTCAACCTGCATTAAAGACTCATTCATGCAGGACCCATGAACTACAGACATCTCTCTGTTCCAACTGACAGGAAAACTTTTTAGTGTTTATTATTGAAGATGCTACTACTATTATTCCACCAATAGGCCCCATACGCAGAAACAGACATAAGGAAATTACTTATTCTGAAGTTAGAGGGGAGTAAATGTATCCCGTAATCCCTCCCTCAGGATTAAAATTAAATAAGAACATTTCCAGGAACTGTTTGTGAGATATAATGAAATACAGATACAATCTCTTTCTAAATTCCTGGGCTTATGTTTCTTTCCAAGATAGTTCAGGCCAAAAGGATCCTTAATGATGCCCTGGTCTGGGGACCAGCAGCAGATCTTTAACATGAAAGCTAAAACTGAAGTTTTTCTGGCCAAGACCCGCCAGTCTTCTCCTTGCCCACCCAGTCCTTTTCCAAAGGCATGGCTTCTGGAAGCCAGCCGTGCTGGTCTGGAGAGCACAGCGAGGTCTAACACCCAGGAATCCAGGTGCCCACCCAGAGCTCCTTGCACCAAATCTGTGACCTACTGAAAGAAATCTTTCCACTTGCCCACACCCTCAAGAGCTGCCCAGATGCAAGCTCATGCCTTCCAGGATTTTATTACAATTAGAATCAGTGCTGGTTTCATTCACATACAATCCAACTGCACCATGGACAACAGACCTTGGGCCTTGTGATCACGTCCACATTCTCAATAATTCGCCTGAATGAAGGTGGCATTTTGTTGAGAATTCTGTGCTGCAGAAATTCTTGAGCTTTATGAAACATCAAACCACCTCCTACCACCAGGATGGAACTGTACATCTTCTTTTTGGTATCATCAGATGCTGAAAAGACAATGATATTCCTTCCACTCTTTCTTCCATATCCACCACTGGGCCAAGCCACCACCATCTCGTTTGGACAATTGAGGCTCCTCAAAGCTCTCTCTCCAACCCACCCTCAACAACGCAGCCAGAAGAACCTTGCAAAACACCAAAGTGAACATGCTGCTGCACCCCCCACCCTGCAACTTGCAGGATTAGGACCAAAATTTCTACGGGGGCCTACAAAGTCTACTGTGGCGTGACTCACTGCTTCTCCAGCCCTATCCTGGCATCTCACCTTCCAGCCACGCTGGCCTCCACACAGGCCTCTTCCTTTGCCTGGAATGCCACCTGGTGACCTTCTCACCTCCTAGACCGTTCTCAAATGGCTCTTCCCTAAGAAAAGATTCCCTGCCTCCCACCATCTATACCTCCTCCTACCAGTAAAAATCCCTTATTAAGTCCCTCAATGAGAAGCTCTCAGAGTCAGCTCAATTTTCCCTTTTGTTCAACTTTGCAGCACCAGTCAGAGTTGTAATTTCACACTTGTGTGACAATTTAACTTGTTTGGTTTCCTCCACTAGGCTATATGCTCAACAAGGCTGGGAACCACTTCCTAACACCGGACAACGCAGGCACAAAGCATGTGCCCAACAGTTTTTCAATGCATATGCTACGCAGCACAACCACACCCTAGCCTGAACCAATTCACCTAACTGCTATCTTACAACGTGCTTACAACAGCAGTCTATGCTGTGAAGAATGGCTTTATCCAGGCCCAGGGCCTTCCCTTCAAACAGCGAGATGGCAGTCTTCCTGGACATCAGTGCTGTGAGAGCCTCTTCAGATTCATTGCCGGCCATCAAACAGTCTCCCTGGGAGGATCCCAAATCCACCTCCTGGGCATGGAGTCTTTCTGGAAGATCAGAGGACTGGCCACGAAGATCCCCTTCAAATCCAATGGGTTTGGATGCAGACTTTCGGTCAGCAGTAGCTTTTGCAGACTTTAAATCAAACAAAAGGACAAATGGATGGTATGAATGTAACAGAATAGTGCTGATGTTCTCCAGCTAGACCCCACCCCTCCCTACTACACTACTTTATACTACTATAAAACAAAGGTCCACCACTGTGGTGCAGAGGGAATACACACTAGCAGGTGGCCAAGCACCTGCACCCACTCCCAGATCACCTGGGAGTGAGACGTGGTGTACAAAAGATGAGGGTGTGCTGACAATTCCAAAGCAGCCATTGGCAAGAAGGGAAAGTCTCACAACTATTACTGGTTGGATTTGCAAATTGAAATGACAGTGTACACGGACATTTCCCCCTTGAACTGAGTTTTTAAGTGGAGAATTTCAGTAGAATTCTTGTGCCTGTGCCTCCTACCTAATCCTCATTTTCAGACCTTATCCAACCACCTCATGCTCACCATTGGGACAGGGACAAAGACTAGAAAAGGTTTATAAGCCCTCCTCTCTCCATCCTGAGCTGCTGTTTCACTGGGAGAGAAGACCTTTCATTTGTGCCCCTGTATCAGACATCCTATTACTTGGATCATCAGCTCTGGACAAAAGAATTCAGCTTTTTGCCTAGGCCACATACCTTTTACATTATAATTTTAAAATAGGTGAGATTTTACTAAAAATACTCACTACTGGATAAACATTCAAAAGTAGATAGCTTTCACACCAAAAATAAATATCTTTATTAAATTAACTTTTAAATTTGTGGACTGGTATTCTGAAAATTGGCTTCATGTCTGCTGAATGAAAAAATCTGTCATCTGACTTGAAATTTAGACTTCATCACATCTCCAGTTCTAAAAACAGTATTGGCTTCAGTATGTAGTAGACTGCAGTGACTGCGCCGACCCACTAATCACGGACAAACTTCCGCAGGGACCAAGCTGTCTCCTCTCACACCAGAATTTCTGCAGACCTGTTCTTGCTTGCTCTGCGTGGCCAGCAGATAATGCTCATCATGAGGATCCTCAGGGTCACCCTGGGATCTGTGCTGCAAGGTTGTCATCTTCTGTCCAACAATTCCAAAAGTTGCTGGGTAAAACAAAGCCATTGGAGCCTGTGCAAGTAAGGAAAAGAATGATCAACCAAGGACACGTGGCTTTCTGAAAAAAACTGATCTATTAAATTCTGTCCTTCCCAAAACAAAATTGGCAGATCAGATCCTAGAAGGCAGACTCAATAAACATTCTCTTTTGGGAGTAGCATTATTTCTTTATTGCACAAGAGGCCAGAAAACTTAACAGAAATCATCCAACTGAATGAGTGATGTGACACCACAAAGAGAAATGTCAAAACGTGTAATGCAAGTGGCAAATAAGCTACTTTATAATTTCCTAATAAGAACAGTCCTTCTCTCTCTAAATAGTAACAAATCACATAGCAGCTAATTAAAAAGATGGCCCTCATCATCTATTCTAATCTGTACTCTATCAGTGGCTTAAAAGCTGGTTTAGCAGGGGCACCTGGGTGGCTCAGTCGGTTGAGTGTCTGACTTTGGCCCAGGTCATGATCTCACCGTTGGTGGGTTCAAGCCCCACACCAGGCTTTGCATTCACAGCGTGTAGCCTGCTTTGGATTCTCTGTCTCCCTCT